TGGACAATGGAAGCGATGAGGGGAATCTATTCCCCAAATAAATCCCATTTCCCTCTGCGAGAAATTGAAAGGCCCCAAGTTTTTATTTCAAATTATTCAGCCGGAATCCAGCTGGAGGAAGAATGGCTGCTTCATCTGGAGTGAAACTTTTGAGAAAGCTTTAATGGGAAATTTCTGAATGGATTCAGAACTGCAAGGAGGAGAAGGAAAAAGGGGGGTGAAGCTTTTGGCCATGAGCAGCAGGAAATGTCCAAGGCTGATTTTTCCTCCTCTCTGTGCAGGTTGGAGTCTCCTGTGTGGGATTAATCCCCTTTTCTGACCCAGAGATGGGTTTTAAAGAATTTTATTCCATTTTCAGTCTCCTGTGAAGGGTGAGACAATAGAGATGTTATAATTCATGCCATCACAATCAGAAGCCAGCTATTTCCTAATTACAATACACAACATTGTATTCTAATTACACTACAAGTGTTTCTTGCTCTATCAGCTTTAACCACACCATGGTGAAAGCTGATAGGTCAAGAAACACTTATAGTGTAATTAAAATGCCTTAAAGACAATAATTTAAAATTACCCCTCGTGGGTCTCACTACAGTGCATCTTTCACAGTTCTATTTCTCTAAATTATCTCGTTTTATTCGCAAGGCCATCCTTAAAAACTTGTTTCTAGCTCCATTTCTGTCTCACCAATGTCTGTCCTGTTCCATGGCACTTCTAAATCAGCATTTCTTATTTTGAGGTCGGCATAAGTGAGCCTCCTGTTGGGCTTGGAGAATCCCCTACAAATCCATTTCCACCTCCCGAGCTCAGGGGCTCCTTTCAGCAAAGCAGCTGAGGCTCCTTCTCCAAAACATCAACATTTATTAAATGCAATTAATGCTGCTCACTCCCAAGAGGAGAGATTTGTGCCACAAGGTGTGAGGGCAGCACCCAAAAATATCCCAATTTCTTCCTCAGCTACTCAGCATTGCAGCAGAATAAAGAAACCCCAAAAACCCTTTCTGGTCACCTGAATGAAGTTCCCTCCTGTGCAGGATCTGAGACATAAAATCCTTGCAGAGGTAAAATTAATGACAGGAAAATTAAGGGAAACCACTTGAACACTAGAGAATTATGCTGTTAAAATCACAGACAAGGTAAGCTGCACATGACATTTTAACCTAAAACCAACCCCACATTAACAGAATTTACCCTGTTTCTGGCAGAATGAATGATGATGGCAGCAGGAATTCCTGCCTGGTTTGGTGGAGTGAGGCAGGCCAGGGGCAGTGCACAGGTTTCATCCTTTCCTTGGAGATTTTTGCCTTTGCTGTGTCCCAGCCCCTTTGCTTTGTGCTGTCCTACAGAGAGCTGGGCTCAGGAGCCTCNAGGCACACAGCCCTGGTGAAGCTCTCTCAACATTGTAAATCTGGAATTATTTCCAGGTTTCACACCTCTGGTGAAGCTCTGTCAGCATTGGGAATCTGGAATTATTTCCAGGTCTCTCACCCCTGGTGAAGCTCTCTCAGCATGGTAAATCTGGAATTATTTCCAGGTTTCACAGCCCTGGTGAAGCTCTGTCAGCATTGGCAATCTGGAATTATTTCCAGGTTTCTCAGCCCTGATGAAGCTCTCTCAGGATTGGGAATCTGGAATTATTTCCAGGTTTCTCATCCCTGGTGAAGCTCTCTCAGCATGGTAAATCTGGAATTATTTCCAGGTTTCTCATTGCTGGTGAAGCTCTCTCAGCATTTGGAATCTGGAATTGTTTCCAGGTTTCACAGCCCTGGTGAAGCTCTCTCAGCATGGTAAATCTGGAATTGTTTCCAGGTTTCTCATCCCTGGTGAAGCTCTCTCAGCATTGGGAATCTGGAATTATTTCCAGGTTTCNCAGCCCCTTTGCTTTGTGCTGTCCTACAGAGAGCTGGGCTCAGGAGCCTCGGCTGGGCAGCACTGAAAAAGCACCAGAATGATCACAAAAAGGCACCAGAATTATCACAAAAAAGCACCAGGAGGATCACAAAAAAGCCTCCAGAATGATCACAAAAAGCCTCCAGAATGATCACACAAAAGCCACCAGAATGATCACAGCGAGGCACCAGAATGATCACACAAAAGCACCAGAATGATCACAAAAAGCCACCAGAATGATCACAAAAAAGCACCAGAATGATCACAAAAAAGCCACCAGAATGATCACAAAAAAGCACCAGAATGATCACAGAAAGGCACCAGAATAATCACAAAAAGGCACCAGAATGATCACAGAAAAAGCCACCAGAATGATCACAAAAAAGCCACCAGAATGATCACACAAAAGCCACCATCAGAATCACAAGGACACCAGAATGATCACACAAAAGCCACCAGAATGATCACAAAAAAGCCACCAGAATGATCACAAATATGCCACCAGAATGACCACAGAAAGGCACCAGAATGATCACACAAAAGCCACCAGAATGATCACAAAAAAGCCGCCAGGATGATCACAGAAAGGCACCAGAATGATCACAAAAAGCCACCAGAATGATCACAAATATGCCACCAGAATGACCACAGAAAGGCACCAGAATGATCACAAAAAGCCACCAGAATGATCACAAAAAAGCCACCAGAAAGATCACAAAAAGCCACCAGAATTATCACAAAAAAGCACCAGGAGGATCACAAAAAAGCACCAGAATGATCATAGAAAGGCACCAGAATGATCACACAAAAGCCACCAGAATGATCACAAAAAAGCACCAGGAGGATCACAAAAAGCCTCCAGAATGATCACAAAAAAGCACCAGAATGATCACAAAAATCCACCAGAATGATCATAGAAAGGCACGAGAATGATCACAAAAAAGCCACCAGAATGATCACAAAAAGCCACCAGCAGGATCACAAGAAAGCCACCATCAGAATCACAAGAAGGACACCAGAATGATCACAAAAAAGGCACCAGAATGATCACAGAAAGCCGCCAGAATGATCACAAAAAAGCCACCAGAATGATCACAAAAAAGCCACCAGAATGATCACAGAAAGGCACCAGAATGATCAGAAAAAAGCACCAGGAGGATCACACAAAAGCCACCAGAATGATCACAAAAAAGCCTCCAGAATGATCACAAAAAAGCCTCCAGAATGATCACAAAAAGGCACCAGAATGATCACAGAAAGGCACCAGAATGATCACAAAAAAGCCACCAGAATGATCACAAAAAGCCACCAGAATGATGACAGAAAGCCACCAGAATGATCACAAAAAGGCACCAGAATGATCACACAAAAGCCACCAGAATGATCACAGAAAGGCACCAGAATGATCACAAAAAGCCTCCAGAATGATCACAAAAAAGCACCAGAATGACCACAGAAAGCCACCAGAATGATCACACAAAAGCCACCAGAATGATCACAAAAAAGCACCAGGAGGATCACAAAAAGGCACCAGAATGATCACAGAAAGGCACCAGAATGATCACAAAAAGGCACCAGAATGATCACAAAAAAGCACCAGGAGGATCACAAAAAAGCACCAGAATGATCACAGAAAGGCACCAGAATGATCACAAAAAGGCANATGGCAAAGCCTTAAGTGAAACACTGACCTCACAAAAATCCTTACAATGAGCTTTCAATCTATTTAATGTGCCCAAAAAGTGTTCTTTTCACTCTCTGGCGTGCTGAAGGTTGAGTAAGTGTATGTTAGCCCCTTCAGTGGATTTTAAATGCCCTTTTAAAAAAGAGACGCCCTTTTAAAAGAGAGATGCCAAGCCTTGGCTTCTGGGAGTCCAGCTCAGACTCTGGAATTTCACAAACAGGAGCTCAAACCTGGGAGTCTGGGGCTTGTGTCAAGGAGTGCTCCAGCCTGTGGCTCAAGGCATGAAATCTTCCATGGATGAGAAGTTCTGAGGTGATGGATGGGTTTGCTTGGCCCCTTTTAGAACACTCAGTGTGAGACCATCCCCTGCAAACCTGCCATGTGCCTTCTGGTGTGATTAAATTCCTGTCAGATGATTCCAGGGGAACCTGATGGAGCAGAAAGAGTGAGAAACCCAAATCAAGGCATGAGTAAAGCCCTGATGCCCTTTTCCTGTGGGGTAAATGGGGAGGAGAACCAGAAACCATTGCAGTGCATCAAACTGGTTTGAATCTCAGCCACATCCAACTCCACTAAATCACCTGCAGGCTCCCACACAAGGGATGATGCTCTGCCCCCACAACATCTGTTAGAGCCATTAAATATCATTAAACTGCAGCTGGCTCCCTGGAGACACCTGATTAAGTGGATTTCCCAGACAGGTGAATCCCAAATAAATACCAGGCTGTGCTGCCCTGACTTCTGCTGAGCACTAATTTATTCTGTGGTGACTCCCATTAAAATTAACGGGACCATATGCAGGGCCAGCACGGTGGATGTGGGTGAGCATCCCATAATTCACCCCCTGTGACTGCATTAGGGCTGCTTGGAAAGGAAAGGCAGCAGAGCTGAGAGCGTGCCATGGGGGAAATGAAAAATGCCTGGGTCTGCCCATTCCCCCAGGGCCTGCCCATCTTCATTTAGGGATGCTGCTTTCAGAGCAGAGGCTGTGCTGTCTTCAGAAGTGTTTTATAGAAAAAAATAGAGCCAGTTTATAAAGATAAATCTGTTCTAAACTTCAGAAGTGAGTATTGAGAGGGACACACATTTTGTTCCCAGTGAAGTGTGAGCTCCCAGCCCACTGTGGTGCTTCTGGCACCTTGTATAACATCTCTGGGTGCCCAAATTTCTTGAAAATATATATTTATTTTTCCTGTGTGACTAAATAACCCTTGAGACAGGCAAAGTGGTACCAACTGAGGTGATGCCTCACTCAGCTGCAGGTCCAGCTCATGCACATCCACGTTCTCGTGCCAAATAAATGCCATTATTAGTTTCAAACAACCCAAAAATCACTGAAGATTGGGCCCTTGCCCCGTGGTTAGTATTCAGGGGTAGTTCCTGGTGTTTTGCAGTTAATTAGAGCTTCTCAGGGGCTGTTTTGCAGGTGAACCTGATGCTGAACGGGAAGCCAGTGATCTCTGCCTTCGCTGGGGACAAGGACGTCACCCGTGAGGCCGCCACCAACGGGGTCCTGCTCTACCTGGACAAGGAGGACAAGGTTTACCTGAAGCTGGAGAAGGGCAATCTGGTTGGTGGGTGGCAGTACTCGACGTTCTCTGGCTTCCTGGTCTTCCCCCTGTAAAGTCCATGTTCCCGTGGCGTTGGTCCAGGTGTGGACTCCTCCTTGTTCCATGAAGATCCTTCCTGTCATCATGGAGTGATGGTTCTTTATTGCTTCCTCCTGGGTGGTTTTGGATTCGCTCCATGGATTCCAGCCCCATCTGAACTGCTCAGAAGTTCCACAGAGTTTTGTGTGTCCAAACACGATATCTTTGGCCTGAGACTAAAGCAGACAATAAATATCAACGCTTAAGGTTTCAGCCTAGAGCTGCCTGCAAGATTTACTCCAATTTCCCTTCCTGGATTCGGGGAAGAAATGGATTTTCTTTAACTGTGAAAAGACTGGCGCCGAGTCTTTCATGCAGGAGGGTTTGAGCTCAGACTTCAAGCGAGAGTTAGCGCGCTGCTGCCAAAGAGCTGTGTTGATGTGTTGGCCGTGTTTGTGTCCTGGGCTGCACTGCCATCGCCATTCCCCCGTCCTAGAGAGGTCATTCCTGCTGCTGAGGGCCGGCTCGAGCTCTCCTCTCTGTGTTGTGTGTTGGATGGTTCACCCAAATATTTAACTCAGTCCCAGCCAAGTCCGGGCTCCAGGGCTCTGAGGGGTCGTGGATGTGCTTTGGTTGGGTTTGGAAGGGATTCCTCTTTCCCACTGATTCCTAAAAGGAAAAGCAGATTCCAACCATTGGTGGGCACGCAGGCACGGCTTTGCTGAACAGCTCTGCCCTGCAGGACGCCTCACACTTGTTCTTCAGTTTTAATTAACTTGATTGATAATTACTGCTTTATTGAGCTCCCGAGGGATTCCTTCCTTAGACACAACCACTTTGTCAGCTGGAGATGAGATCCCCCTTGTTCGTATTTCTGTGTATTTTCCAGCCCTTCTGTTGTGTTGAAGGTCTTATCTGGTTTTGCCTTAACTCCACAGGTGTATAAAATATTAGATTATATGTTTAACAAACATAAAAGGCAAATAACTGGTACCTAACTTGGTGCAAAACCTTCCCAGATTTTTGTACAGGTCATGTGAATTCATAAACTTATTTATTGTCATATTGTTCCATAATAAAGATTAATATATGTTAGCTGAATTTTTGACATTTGGATTTTGGGAGGATTTTCGCTTCATACTATTTTTTTATTGGATATAATTATTATATGCAAAATGGAAGCTTTTGGGATTCACAGAAAATATCCCGGGAGGCAGAAAAGCTGCCATGAGTTAGTTAGTAATCAGAGTGATCTAGAAATAACTATGCATTTCATTTAAAAATAGAATTTAGGCAGAAATCCTGGCCTCACTGAAGATGGTGTTGAGAATCACATTGATTCCAATGGATTTTGGATGAAACCTCTGCTTTAGGTTCTGCCATCAGCATCAAACTCCAGTGCCATCAGGTTGATATATTCAATATTCAATATTCAATATTCAATATTCAATATTCAATATTCAATATTCAATATTCAATATAATGATTTTCACATGAGCTGCTAACGAAACCTTCATCCCTCGTGCCCCAAATCACTGAATTGATGGATCTTTGTGCCTTGCATATCATGAAGGATGTGGTTCTAAATTAAATATTTCTGTTTGTTTGAAAATGCTTGTGGGTGGAAGCATCTGCAGCAACCTGGGAGCTTCCTGAAAGCCACTTTGGGCTGGGATTTGCTGCTTTTGGGATCTCTTTCCAACTCCTTCCCCTGCTGGCAGAGTGCAGTGTGTCCTGTTGGTATTGCACTGATTGGAAATCTGATTTATGGGTGCTGTTTGTGAAGATATCAGGGAATTGGTGGCACAGCTTTGTGCCCAAATTCCTGATTTCTTCACCCACCCCACAGGAGATTTTGGGCTGTTTCAGGAGGGTTGGTGGGCACTTTGCGCTCCTGTAAATCAGATAGAAGGTGATTTTTTACACAAAATTTTGTTGCTGTACTGACCACTGCAGCTGGGGAAGAAGTGGAAGGACCCTGCAAGAAGGTGAATGATTTACATTGCTGAAAAATCTCAAAAAGTTGTGATGACCAATCAAAGTGTGTTACTGCTGTACCCCCAAATGTGTGTATGTAAATATATGTGTATCTCAACCACCTGGAACTGCAGATCATAGTTTGCATGATGTTATAAAGAGGTTACTTGTCCTAAGAGTTTATTTCAGATGGGAGCATCGGTATTTTGTATAAAACTGGTCAAATCTACCATTCCCCCCTGCCCATGGATATCTCTGTAATGTAAAAGAAATGTTGCTACTGAGACAGAAGAAAAATGGCATTAAAGGTGTCAGTATAATTTCTGAATGATCAAATGTATCTAACTTCTTTAATTTGTGAGCACATGAGCTCTAAAGGCTGCTTGAGCGCCAGCAATAATCCTGAGCTGCCTCAATATTGCTTTGATTGCCCCTCAGCAAAACATTTCTGATTTCTTCAGAGTCATTAATGCTTATTTAAACTTGAGCTGGAGAGGCTGGGGAGTTATTCACTGAAGGAATTCATTTTGATGGAGAAGCTTCTGAAACCAGAATTGCCAATTAATTGTTTTGCTGGCTAAAGGAAAGGTTTAAATGGAGCTGCTGTGATCACACAGAGGTGCCTCTGGGGCCAGGCAGGTCACATTTAATACATTTAAATAAGAACAAAATTAGACACAACTAATTTAGACACAACTTGAGCTACCAGATCTGCCCTGCTCACAGAAGAGAGAGGATGAGCCAGAATGGAAAATAAAATTCCTTTTCCTTCTGCCTTCCCATGTCCTGCCACAGCATTTTCCTATTTAGGGGCACCAGTGCAGGAGACATTTCAGTTTTTAGGGGTATTTATGACTGGAAGTTTGATTGGTTTCCAAGTCATTAATGCTTATTTAAACTTGAGCTGGAGAGGCTGGGGAGTTATTCACTGAAGGGATTCATTCTGATGGAAAAGCTTCTAAACCCAAAATTGCCAATTAATAGTTTTGCTGCATTGGGCTGCTCTGTCAGGGTTGGAGCTGATTTCTGATCCTCTGCAGTTCCAGCAGCCTCTGATTTTGGGGAGGGCACAATCCACAATCCACAATCCACAATCCACAATCCACAATCCACAATCCTGCCCCTGCTGTGCCAGGTGAGGATCCACACCCTCGTCCCTCACCCACTTTGCAGGAACTTTGTTCATTGTGCCAGAAAACTTTTTAGCTGCACGTGGTAAGAACAAAATTAAGAAATTCCTCTCTGAGAATAAGATATTTATTTTATTATCAGTGATTTCTCTATGAACAACAGCAGGGTTATTACTTTTTAATCTGGTTTATTAATATTTTATCAATTTTTTTGTGAAAATAAGAGGAAATCCCCATCTTTTTTCCTTTCTTTCACTCCTCAGGGATGTAAATGTTGATAGAGCCAGCTCTCCCTGCCTGCCTCTGTTCCCCAGTGCAGAAATCTGCTCTGTCTGTTGGATCCTTGTGCTGTCAGCAATCTGGGCTGCACAAGCCACAGAACCGCAGAGCCCAGAAAATTCCTGCTCAAAAGAGCTTGGTGGCAAAAGTATTTTTGAAAAGCTACCGAGGCAGCTTTGAAATTTTCACCAGCTCTTTTGTCACTAAATAAAAAGGAAAAACCAACTTTGAAACACAGAGAAGGAAAACATATTCCCCCTTTTATTTAACAAGGCTTTATGTGTGGTTACATCATTTTCTAGCAGTGTCTGAGTGTTTTATGAGAGTTAATTCAATCACTTTGGCCTTTTTATGGCTCAGCAAGGGCTGCAACCAGCTGAGAAAATGGGGACAGGGTTTGGGAAATGATTCCCAAGTGCCAGCACATCCAATCTTGGTCCTGTTCAGTTTGCTGGATCAGTTCTTTTTCTGAGACAGGACATTTTTGCAATACAAAGGATGGTTCTGGAGTAAATGGAATTCTGCTGTATTTTCCCCTTCCATGTTTTATCTACATACCGTTCCTAGAAAGATGAATGGAAGAGTGTGAGGCGCCTGAAGAATTTCCCAATTAGCTGCCGACTCTTTGTTTAAGCCCCCAGAGGAACACACTGTACACAGAGCATTTTTACAAGCAGGTTTTAGAACAGAGAAATAAATGGAAGGAGCTCTAAATGTCCCTTCCCTTCCCTTCCCTTCCCTTCCCGTGGATTTTCAGACAACCACAAATATTTAAAATCAACATTGAAATATTGATAAGCATTCAGCATTTATTGGTACCAATTAACCACCTCAGCTCAGTTACCCAACACTATGAAATTTGGGCAATTTTGGACTTTTTTTTCTTTATTTTCATTAATAAATCTCCCTGGGCACTGAAGGAAGACACTAAAAACTTCAATGCCATGAAAATGGAAATAATTCCAAGGAGGAGCTGCAGGGATCAGAGCCAGGGTGGAAGTGCTCAGTGGAACTCAGATTTACAGGCAGAACAGGAGATAACACGAGCTACAGATCTCTTTGAGGACACCTCATCCCTCATTCCCTGGAGAGAAATAAACTCTGGCTCGTTTCTAGAAAGCCAAATAATGGAAACATGTGAAGAATGAACACCTAAAGCGCAGCAATGCTGAGGAACACCAGGGCTGTGCAAGAAATGAATTCTCCAGCAGCACGGAGTGTTTCACTTTTTGTGCAGTGCTTAAATGGATTTCTAGCACTGTAATAAAGGCTTCTGGAGGAGATAACTCCCAGCCCATCCATCTCTGCTGCCTGGAATTCAGCAGTGGTTAAGTGAGGCAGTCTGGGCTCGTTCTGCTGCAAACCCTGATTCAGCGGGCAGGGTTCAGCTGCCAGCTCCTCTCAGTGCAGGAATCACTCCCTCAATGAGCAGAAGATGCTTTTGTCAGGCCTCTGAGGGTTTGCAGCTCTGATCAGTGTCAGAGCAGGAGCTGTGCTGAGCTCTCAGCCTGACTCTGGTGCTCAGGATGTAATATCTGATGCTCTGGATGGAATATCTTCTGTCGCAGACCACTTTTATGAAAAATCCTTTTTTTAGGATTTTTCCTCTTGAGAAGCTGAGAAGCTCTAAGAACAAAATGTGAACATTGATTATCTGCTGCTGCAGAATATAACAGGGGGATTTTTGATTGGCCCATGTTGGATGTTTGTAATTAATGGCCAATCAAGCACAGCTGGCTGGGACAGAGAGCCGAGCCACAAACCTTTGTAATCATTCCTTCTCTTTCTATTCTTAGCTAGCCTTCTGATAAAACCTTTTCTTCTATTCTTNATAAAAAAGCCACCATCAGGACAAAAGTGGGAGCTGGGAATGTTCCCTCTGCACTGGGAATCACTCCCAGGCTGGGCAGGAATTTCAGCCCCAGGGACACAGAACATCCAAGCTGGGAGCTCCAGATCCTCCCAATTCACCCTCTCTGCCCTCATTTGGAGTGTTCTGCCCATTTTTAGCAATTCAGTGGAGCCGCACAGATTTTTGCCACCTGGAGACTGGGAACAGATGTTTTTGGAGCAGAAAAAGAGCAGGAAATACCCCAGCAAAGAGGAAAATCTGATTGCTCAGGAGTTCCTCTGAATTTCAGTCCATGCTTTTGGTTTCCTGTCCTTCCTCTTGGTCCTGAGCCCCTCAGAGTCACCTTTCATCAAACCCTGTTTGTATTTGCTGCTTCCATAGCACAATGTTTGATATCCTATAACGTAATAAAAGCCAGCTGCTCTACATTTGACACCTGAATTATGTAAAGAAAATAAAAAATAATAATGAAAATGAAAATATGAAAAAAATGAATTATTTCCAAAATGAAAATAATTCTGAAATGAATGTGGAGAGAATCATTCTGAAACGAATATTAAGAGATTCCACTCCTCTGGATCATTCCCTGCCCGCTGAAGCCAAGGAGAAGGAAAGGGCACCATCAATCCCATAAAATGCATTTTCCATGGGCACATTGCTGGAGTGTAAGCAAACTCTTATTTACTCTGCCCAGTGCCACAATTAGTGGAGATCAAAGCGCCTGCCAGGGTGTTTTATACTGTAAATTATTGGGTAATTAACCTCAATGCACCCTGCTTAAGGTCTCCAAAAGAGCTGAGAATATCCTTCAAAACAAACAGCACATGACTGCATCTCTGGTTAATTATGAATAAAATGAATAAAAGGAGTCTCTGATGGGATGTGAGGGGCTGGGGTGGTGCAGGGGGAAGAGAGAGAATTAAATCATCTTCCTGCAGAGCTGAAAGACAGAGATTCAGAACACAGAGATGAAAACAAAGCAGCGTCCAACCAAAGGGTGCTTTACTGGCAAACCAATCCATTTCATGATGTTTATTGCATTCCATGAGGGATTAGGCTTCTTTCCTTTCACAACCAAAACTGGTTTATTTTTATAGAATTATCTGCTATTGAGCTTCCTCATTGTGCAGCAATTGGTACACAAATTTTCCTGTTGTTTAAGAGCCGTTTTTGACATTTGCAGATTTCAATTGTGGCCTGATAAAACAAAGCCTTGGATCCAAGATCAACAGTCCTGTTTTACACTCCACTTCCCAAGAAACCAGTGTTAAATATTTGACACCGTTAATATTGACAGAGAAACTCCTTTTATTGTTTCCTCTTGCGGACAAATTGACAAACGGAGAGTTTTAGATATTATAATAACCCTGCCCAGCTTCATAATCATCCATCTTAAAATAAAATCTATTTAACAAATCAGAAGTTTATTTTTTAATGGGAAACTTCCTGGAGCAGGAGGGGTCCTGGTGGGGAACGTTCTGGAATCAATGTTGGGGTTTCCTTGGGTTCCAGCATCACCCATCAGAGCCAGGATGTCTGATGTGGTTCCCACCCCTTCCATCCCAACACCAATCAAAGCTGCACAAGATCTTCCTACATTTCTAATTTTACCAATTTCAGAGTTTTATGGCTGGAAAAAAAAACCAACAGAATCATTTTTAAAGGGGTTCAAATTATTATTTCTCCGAGGCAGAGAATTCCTGAGCCACAGCAGTGCTAATGCAGAAAACAAACACACCAAGAGCTGGAAATCATCACCTAAACACAGAAATCTCCTGGAATTGGAGCTGGAGCTGCCCTGACTGCAGTGCTTTGGAGGCAGGGCCAGAAATGTCTCTCAGTTTTTCGTGGTTTCTGGAATGCTGCTGTATTTTTATGGATGGAACCCTTGGAAGTGACAGAATCTGCAGTGAGTTCCATGGAGCAGCGCCAGCCCTTCCCTTCAGGCAATCTGGCTCTGTTTGGGAATGAAAGGTAAGATTAAATATAGTTAATATCAGAGTGGAACTTTTCTTTTAGCATTTGTTAAAAATACTCCCATTTTCTCACCGTTTTAATGAGTA